TTCCCCACGTACCACTAGAGAGCACTTGTGTACCACTGGTGCTATGCGTACCACAGTTTGAGAATTTAGAGGCATCTTATTGCTAACTTTTTGGTAACTTGTGATTATTCGGCTAACTCTTAGTTATTTGCCCAGTTTTTATTTTGTTCATATTTGGCTAATTACTTTCAATATTGAATTATCAACATTTGATTACTTTTAAGTTGACAATTTTGATTTTTTATTATTTTTTTATTGTACTCTGCAGTATTGTCCTGAATGGCCCGGTGATTTGTTACAGGTTACCCTTCAAAACTGGACTCAATTCAAAACTCTGAAACAACTACAGACCTTCCCATTGAACAAATAATTAAAATTACAAATTAGTGAAATGTTTCCGCTGTAGCACAAATAAATAGTCAAATTGAAGGTAATTTGTCTCAAACTGCCCCTCTAAGGGAGGCCACCCCCACATTGGGAACCCAAGGTCTAGCATACTGTATCTAATTAATAGGACTATTTTTTCCTCTATCCTACAAATATTTAGGGAGAAAATAAAACTTCAAGTCCTTGAGACCATTCTTGTGAACAGAGACAAAGGCATCAGCAGTAAAAACCCAGTGGACGTGAGGAGCTGAGTTCTCCTGTGACACAAATCCAGAAACCGGGGCACAGATTACGGCTCCTCCTCACAGGAGTGCGCACTTTAGTCAAGAGATGCTGCTCTGCAGTCTGTTGTCAGCGCGGCAATTGGAACTTAATCACTATAATCCATTGATTGGATTAAGATGGTGCCGCGACGATGAACCATCTGTGAGAGGCAGTGTCCGTGTGGTGGAAGTTAAGTTTAGATCTACTTTCTTTAGGTTTCTTCCACAGATTTATTTATCTCAGGCTGGTATTGGAATAGAACTCAGAGATGCAACGGTGTGTTGTTTCTGAAATACATATTTAATGGACATTAAAGTAAATAAAGGGGGAGGGGGAGAAACTAAAAACAAAACCACTATCAATTCAGCAAGGGAGAAAAAACAATGAGCGTATACATACAACCATAAGAACAACTTAATGATGCTTAGAAAAAAAAGCTCATAAATCCGTAAATCTACTTTCACTCTTCGCTGCCTGTCTACATCAAAGCTCCCACATGCTTCTGCTGGTGTCATAAATTCACAGGAACCTTCGCTGTACTTAAGAATGATTGAAAGAAAAAAAAGACATAATATCTTCATTACCAGGACCATCGCCCACGTGTTTGTGATGATTTTAACTGGAGATTTTACTGCTGTGTTTTAACACAGTCTCATTCTGAGATTCCTCCAAACATTATCTAAAAACGCCAAGGAAATGTTCTGGAAAACTTCCATAGCAAGATATACGCACCGTCTGTTATTCTGTTCTGTTCTCAGTTGTGTTTTTATCTTTTTATTTTAAATCAAAAAATATTTTGGAGGGAAATTTTATCAGCTTTAAACATACACAAAATGTCAAGTGCAATACAACATGAGACACTTCCAAATTCTGTGTATTTAACTGTGGGGCCATTCCAAACAGTACCAAAGCAGCATTCCCACACCTCTCAGTATCTATCTATGAAACCTTTGCATTCGTTTAACTACTGAGAAGTAGTTTGAAAGACCATTGGCCATTTCTGTTGTGAAAGACCAAGCCTTAGGTTGATCCTGTTTTTATACCTAATCTGGAATTGCAAACATGTTCCATGAAGAATCGGTCAGTTTATCAGGATTTTTGGGACACGTTGCTGGTTTCACTACTTCTTTAATAATACATATTATTATTATTAATATTTTTTTTGCCTTAAAATGATAATTTTTCTGGTAACTGGGTTTGCTGGTTGCACAGATTGTTAGCTGTATTTTTTAAATACTACTATTTCAAATAATAGCTAATTTAAAAATGAACAGGAGCTCTGGTGGCCAAGACAAAAACAAAAACAAAAAAAAAAGGTTTACATGAAAACTGCAATCCTATCATTCAATTTTGTTTTAGTGTAAAATAACGTCACTGTTAAATTGCATATCAGAAATATGAATGCTCTGCTGTTGTCTCCTTTCTTCTATTTCTTTCATCTGTTCTCTAAAAGATGGAAATGGATTCTGCCTGGTCCACAGGCCACTGACAGGAGTTATTTGTGCTGCGCCGACCGACTCAGCTGCACTCATCTCTATACAAATTCAATTTCACTTTTGTAAAGCAGCCACGCTGTTATTGCACATTTGTCAAAACATCAACATTAGCCTGAATGGTCCGGGGAGGGAGGGAGAAGGAGGAAGGAGGTAGAAGGATGCTTGATTTCTAACAGGAAAATCTCGACGGAGCTTTGTTAACGTCTCTCTCTTTCTCTCTCTCTCTCTCACACACACAAACACACGCACACACACAACATAAGTGAAGGCTGTACACCATAATACTAACTCAGTGTCAATAAATACTCATGGAAACAATGGCTTGGCTTTACAGTGGTGACACTGTGGGCTGTGGTAGAGTAGGTGTGAATAAAAGGACGACAACCTCCTTTCACGTCCCATTGTCTGGAGCTGTACAACATATGTTTATTGTCAACGGAATAAGCAAAAGAAATGAGACTTGTTTTTTTCAGTATGTGTCTTTTAACTATAAACAAGTGAAGAAAAAATGCTGCATTTCTGAGCAGAAACACACATGCTCTTACAGGACTCCTGGATCCTCTAGAGATTAGACATGGGTTTTACACATTTTGATCATTTGTTTGGCAAACTTTATTTCTGTTTTTCGTATTTATTTATTCTTCTATATACTGTATATTTTTTCCAGGGTCATTTTAGATTTTTAAGCACTAAAGCAGCATGTTAATAAGAGAAGTATTTAAAGTAATGTTTCCCATGTGAAACGGATGTTGTGCGTTCTATGTTATATTCAAGAGGAAACTTGATCATCAGAGGTTTAAGGGCAAAGTCAAAGCCACTGGAAGGACATTTTGTTTTTGCCAGACTTCTTGTTATTTTCTAAAATTGATCTGACAGTGAAGCTGCTGCTGAAAATGCGACTTCAAAATGAAACATGGTGGTGAAGGAATATGAGGAAGTGTGTGGAGGCAAAATCTACTTTCAGGGTTTTTGTATCATCAGCAACAAAGATCTATTATCCACTGATTGGAGATCTATCAGACTGTGTGAGAGACACAGCGTTCCAGACAGGACGGGTCTCAGTGTTTAGGAAATATTCCATGAATAAAGTGAAAACAAAGACGCCAAAAACCGCCGTGACAAGTGTCTGTCAGCATTTTTTCACCCTCCTCTTGGCAAAGCCAGGTAGAGGAAGTATTGAAGATGAAGAAGAGGAAAGAGGTGAATACATAAAGCAGGGAGAAGGTGAAGAATGAACACATCAGCAGGGCTTTTCATACACCTATTGATCCTGGCAGACTGACACTCCTTCTCATCCTTGACAGACTCTTTCTCTTGGCTAACTGAAGTACAGCGTTTGTCCATGTCAGCAGAAAGTAAGGTAAACACAGGCAGGGATTGATGATTCCACTCAAGCCTGGGTCACATGACGTACAGTACTGTTGGCACGAGGCGATGCCTTTCAGCTGCTGCCTCTAGCACTGCCATTAGGTCAAAATGTGAGTGGAATAGAATAGAAAAATAGGAAACATAGGGTCTGTGTTTCTCTACAACAACAACGTAGAACTGAAGTTGGACTGTGAAATCCAACAGTGAGCTGCCACATTTTTTCGAGTACTTTTTTCAAGTACTTTGAGTACTTCTTTTAAGGACAGTAGTAGCGTTGCAATATGTGAAAGAGGACCTTAAGCCTGGCCCCAACTTATTTTTAATTAAAACTCTTTTGAAAAACAAAGGATTAAAAAAATGTAACGCTATCCCTAAGGAGTGACCAGACAGCAGGGGGCGTATGACTTCATAAGAACAGCAGGTGAGAACACGCCAGGAGGCATGTTGTCAGCACAAAACTCATTCACACATTTTTTTGGTTAAGACATCTTAATTATCATAGTTTATCTATTTCACCTGTCTACACTTGATAAGAAAGTATATTTTTTATCATCCTTCAGACCAATCATCTAAATAAAATCTGTCTTGGATTCCAGATACAGGCTGTCACTCTGATGAAAGGATTACTGGGAAAAAAACTTTTAATGCTACAATATTTGTTCTACAGATGAATCTTATTAGAAAAAAACATTTGGGCTGATGTTTGACAGATAAAATAATATTCTGTCATATTTTATTCCCTCGGAATGATTCAGTGAATAGTTTCCAGATAAATTCAAAGTCCAACGTGAGTGTTTTTCAGGATGAAAATGACAAATGAATGGAATTTCAATTCTGTGGTTATCTTTTTGGGGCAGTGGTGGCTTAGTGGTTAAGGAAGCGGACTTGGGTCCGGAAGGCTTTAGGTCAGGTCCACCAACTGCCAAGTTACCACTGAGGTGCTCTGAGCATGGCACCGTCCCCACACACTGCTTCCCTTTAAACCACTGTTCACTTTGGTGATGGGTTAAAAACAGAGGTCACATTTGGTTGTCTGCAGTGGTGGAGCTGTGTCACAATGACACGTCTACTGTGTCTACTGTGGGCCATGTTTACAGCCATGCTGTTGGACCTGTGTGTGATTCAGTGGTTGCTGGGACCTGACTGCCTTAACGACGCTGCTCTGAGCTGTAGTCAGACCAGATGCTCCAATAGTTTCTCTAATAAGAGGGAAATCTATCATCATCACTTCCTGTGTGAAACTCTCATGAATTGAATTGAAGTCATAGCATCTATGGATTGGTGTTTAAACATGAAGTTTGACAGTTTACACAAACATAGCTTTTCTCTGGTCAAATACTAGAACTATTCACGTACTGTCAAGGTCCGGTTACAGGTATTGCTGTAGTTACAAACAAATACTAAATATATGAATAAATTGAAAATTTAGTTTAATGGTTTTCCTTCAAGGACATTGAGCAAAAACAATCACTAGAATCTCATGCAGACGTGACAATGAAAGGTGAACTTAAAAGTAAAATAAATTGGAAATAAACACGTCTAAATATCAATATGTGATCAAAAGTGTTTTCTGACTTTGGCTCTTAACAAAGAGAGACAGAAACACTATTGATTTCCAGCATCATTCTTCCAAACTGGAACTCAGAGAGCACAGCATCATTGCATACTGCACACACAGCCAAAGTGTTTGATGCCGGAGACCTGGTGGTTTACTTGACCTGTTAAGTAGGAACGTTCAATATTTTACTGCCTCTCTGGCCACCGTACTCTCTCTGTCGTCCGCCCTGTGCTGCCTTTGTTTGTGTGTGGTAGTAATGGCTAACTGGGGAGATTATTAGTTCTTAAAGTTCGGTCTCTGCTCTGCTCTGAGTGCTTTCTTCTTGGCCATTAGTTGCAGATGCAGTTTGTTTCCATAGTGCCATATTGACTTCTGAAGAACACCTAAACACAGCACTGCTGTCCTGCTGCTCCAGGACAAAGAAAGATATCATTTGTTTTCTATTCCACAAGGGTTTACAGAAGGTCAGTGTGGTTTGAAAGTTCTTCAGATATGTTGTTGCTAGTTTGGAGTTTATGTCTCCAGGATATAAACTTTTTTCGTTTGGGCGATATGCAACATTCACCGTATATATAGTAATAGAGACACTCCTACCTGACATGACCTGGAGGGAGATGATGGCACAGCGTAACGGATGTCCATCTCATCAGCAGACCTTTCCTTGTGTCTGTCTGGGTAAAAAAAAAAATGTGTCAACACTTTGAACAGGTTTTTACTTTCAACAAAAGTTAGTAGCCCCCCCCCACCCCCCAAGGAACAAACAATGGCAGCAGGAGCAAAGTTTGAGAATTCTCAATTCTCAAGTCACTCATCTATGATTCTGATTATGCATGCATTTGGTTTGGTATGAAGAAAACATAAATAAACCAATCAATTTCCATTTTATTTTTTCTGACTCTTCATGAAAATACAATTTTTTTGTATCAATCTTGGTTTGGTTTGGTTTGGTTTGGTATGTTTCTCTGGAATTGAACCCCTAACCATCCAGCTAAGCCATAAAACCTCTGTAGCTCAGTCAAAAATGGCATCACATAAGCTGCACACCACTGAGCTTTGACTACCAGGGCAACAAACACTCAAATGTAAATACCTCCTATACAAAAATCCCTGTGGTCCAAGTACTATTTTTTCCAGTTATGTGAGGAAAACTCTGGAAATATGTTTTACTTAATTGAACGTTTTCTCCCTGAAGAGATTCAAAAATAAGGTTTGGAGTAAATAAAAAGACTGAAGCACATTTATCTGCTTTTATTCTGACCTGATTAATAATCTACCTCTATTTACCCTCTCAAGAAGCACTGAAGTGAAGCATGCATTAAAAGATATATATTTTTATTTTTCCCCCTTGTATAGGCTGCCTTGTATAATAGAAGAAAACCTCAGAAAAAAGAAAGAAGAAATATTTCCCTTCAGTGTTGTAGGGTAAGACCGTCGACTGTGATCCAGCTCTAGCTAGCTGCTGCGCTATGCTCCCACTGCTGCCTTGGCTGACTTCTAGTCATGTTTGACCTGGAGTTTGTATATCGAGGTCAAGCTTTCAGTTTGTAGATATTTAAACAAATTACTGGCAAAGATTAATTAAATATAATGTTTTTGTGGAAAGTTTCTTAAACGTTTAGGTTTTTCTGGGCTAATGTTGTTTGGTTATTGCTTGTTAACTTGTAGCCTTTTGCTAATTTGCCCATTAATTGCGATAAAGTGAGACATGATTTAAAAATTGCAATGCAGCGCAGAATTGATACTGTAGGCGTTTGGGCGTCACAGTAGTTAGATAGCGACACTCGGATGATCAAACTGTTTTCGACATCAGTTCTCTTGAACCAGAGTAATATACTATCAGATTCTAACATTACCTATAGGAGTTTGACAACATGTGTGATATGAATACAGTATGTGATCAAGTGCACATCATGTCGACAAGAATGGATTTCACACTGTTGTTCCTTTTAGTGTTGTGAGAATATCTCATCTTCTACTGCAATTACCACACATTCTTCTCACCACTGTTACATTCCACCATTTTTTTTATCTCTCCTGCACACAGTGCACATCTGCTCTGTTCACGTGCGGGTATTTCTAAGAGTTGGAAAAAATGAGAGATGTTAGCACCCTGGAGCACGGCCTATCATCCGTGATCCTCCCATCTAATTACCGTGTGCGACTAACGTGTGACTTTTTTCTCCCTTTCCTACTCTCCCTCACCCAAGGAGAGATTAAACACTCGGGAATGACCTGCCCTAGATTTTATGCTACATTGAACTCTTAACAAATTAGAGGAGGGTCAGCCACGGACAGATAATTGCCTGAAGCATATGGTGTATTAGCTCATAATCAAGATTAAACTCTATATTTCAGACTCTGTTTGGGCTTCATCATTAAGACATATACATCTCAGTCAACCCAAATAAAATCTACTCTGCTCTAAATATTATGCAGTGCGGCTTTCAGACCAACAGGGGGCTTTGCAAGAAAATTGGTCATCTGCCCTTCGACCCAACAAAGAATGTATGCCTCAAAACCATATCCTTCAATTGACAGGAAATAGACAGTTTGGGGGGAGGCGGTGGGGGAGGGTTGAAACTAGTTAGTTTAGTTTGTGGTACCACAACTTTTAGAGCCTCAACATGGTTAGAAGGTCATGGAGGTCAAACTAAAACATTTAGGAATGTATAGATTTTTCAGACACCGGTTTGGTTTAGTTGGGAGCAGAAAAACACATGTGCTTGTACTAACAGGTATAGCAAGTACTGATTAACAAAAACAGAGGAGTCACAGAACACATCAAAGGACTAAACATGTATCAGTAGACCAGTACAAAGGAGACAGAAAAACATTGAAAATATGAAACGATAAAACACAGCGGAAGAGTCAGCGTACATCATAGGACACATATCACATCAAAGGAGTCACAAAATTTATTGAGGGATTCACACCCACATCAAGTCAATCCATTAGCATGGAGTCATAGAACTCAGATACACACTTTTATGAGTTTACTAAACTCCTTTTCTCAATAATCAACTCTGGCACGTTGATCGTTGCCCACAACTTGATGAAATGATAAAAATGTTTCACTCAAAACATCAACAACCTGAAACTGACCTTAATCATGCTTTATGTTTGACATTTGTATTTTTGTGTGGTGCAGCACATGACTTCAAAGCAGGTCCAGAGTCAGAGGACAGACGATGCCTACTGATAAATCAATAAAAGCCAAAGCAATGTTGTGTCACCACGTCATTCATAAAGCCTATTTTTCTCTTGCCCACAATACTGATCCTTAAAAGGCCTTGCCCTTCACATTGACCTTTCTCTGACTTTTCACTCCACTTTTAAGTCCATGAAGTTCTAGAAGGCGAGACAATACACGAACCTTTGAGTTCTTCATTCAGAGCAGAGCTCTTTTCCAGGTTGAAGGTTCTCTCGAACGTGGAGATCCCCTGATAATAAACTTGACATCTCTCCTTTCTTTGATCCAATATCCCACCAATAACAATTAGCTCAGTGATTGTCTGGCTAATTATGATGAAACAACGGTTACTTTGCCCTAGTGTTTTGCACCACGGCTGCATGAGCATCCTCACCTCTGATGGTGTAAATGTCAAAGCGTGTCGCACCATTGTTTCACTCAGGAGCAACAACAATCCACACATCAGTATCGATACTCAAACACCAGCCACCGTTTCTATGTGTGCTTGGCCTGCTAAAGGTTTGCTGAAACAAACAAAGTAATGCTTCCAGTGGGTTATTAAGATGATATAGTGACACATCGACGGAAACAAAGACAAAACCCAACAGACTTTAGTAATGATTTCATTTGACAAGCCCATTAATTAACAAAAGAGGGATGAAGTCATCGGGTTTTTATTATCTGTAGATGGTCCAGCTTCTCTTCATCCTGCCAGAACTGCAGAACAACTCTGATGTGTCCATCTGTCTTAAAGTTCCCTTTATGACCCTGCTCTACAGATTTTAGTCATTTTCTCAGCACCTTCTTTTCTCCCTGACATATTGGTTGCAGTAGTCCCATCAAATTGGGTAGTAGTGGCCATCTTTCACAGAGCAGAGTTGTCTAAAAGAACCCAGAGGAGACCCTCAGATGAACTGATTGACATTCAGTTCATCGCCTCTCACCTGCTCCAATGCTGATTCTACAGGGAGAAGTGAACGTGATGTTGCTGCCTCACCAGGTCCTAACTCTGCCCCAGCTGTGACCATTTACGCTGCCATTCCAGTCTGACTGTTACCTCTGCTCCTTCACTTTCTCCCATACTTTCACTAGCGATCTCCCCCACCTCCCTTTTTGCTCCAGGCCGCTCTTCACTTTCGCTCTTGTGGCGGAACCTTCAGGTCCTTGTTGCTAGGCAACCACCATCTTAAGACTTTTCCCAGTAGACTTTTGACGGTAATAAAACAATGCCCCGAGACAAACAGCAACTGCAAACCGGAAAGGCCTCAGGGAGGAAAACGGGGGAGAGAATCTGTACCTTGTTCACGCAACAACACAAAAAATAACTCTCTTTTGGTTTTATTACGGAAATAATTGCACCAAACTCCGGGCTCCGGTTTTAGTTAAGGACCGATGGAGATGTAGAAGATGCTGAAGGAAAAAAATCTGTGAATTCATTCCCCACTTGCTGAAGTTACACCTTCTGCTATACTTAGACTGAAAGCTTATCCCACAGAGCCTGAGCACCAGAGCTGAGAAACAGCTGCCTTTGACAAGGTGATTGAGCCCCAAGGTTATGAAAACATATGGTAACAGATTATTTTAATCTCTGTCTATTGATACAAAACTACAGCCACCAATGTTACAGTTAGGGGAGGTCTGCCAGGGGACTTTGACTGACAGGATTTGGATTCGTTTTAAGGTGAACCTGCTATTTTTATCCCACAAATTTGGTCTGGTCCTTCTGACTGAAGCGGATCAGTGATCATGAGGAACAGCTATTTAGCTTTTCTCCACACAAGTCACTGTGAAATTTATTCAACACAGAACAGGAGTAAAAAAATAAATTAAAAAAAACGTCAGTGAATGTCAGTGTTTAATGTGACACCAATCCAGGTGTTAGCTGCCAGTCCAAGAGCTAACCACTGTAGAGTTGAAGGTGTCTGTGGTGCCAAACAAACCAGGACCAACACATTCTGGACAGTTTTAATGCTGTGTTAAGATGTTTTGAGTTTTTCATGCATACCCAGATCTATCTATCTATCTATTGTTACATTTATTAATAATTCTGCCCCAATATCCATACCATGAACAAACAGACTCGGTGAGAGTTTTGTGGCAGAAAACATTAATCCAAATACGTAGCTCATGCGGTGTTTTTAAGAGGACTCAACGCTGAGTTCTGAGCACAGGTACTCTTATCTGATGATCCATTATTTAACTGTATGATTTTAATCTGTGGCAGTGGCCGTTTGACTGTCGTCAGTATCATCAGGCAGAATTGGAGAAGGACCAGAGATGAGAGGCTGTTGACTACCACTAATCAAAATGCAAATGTCTGTCTCCTGAATGGGTCATTAGTCGGAGGCTGGATATCAGGGTGTGAATGGGAATCAAGCAAAGTTGAATGAAGAACAGTTACTTCATCAAAGGGTCAACAAGTTCATTTAATATTATCTCAAGGAGCTGCCAACAAACAGTGGCACGACTTCAACTCAGGCC